TACATTTTGTACTACTTTTATCTGAACAAAATTACTCATTTATTTAGTTTTCAATATATTTTAAAAATATTTTCTCTTATATGATCTTTAGAACAAACTTTGTGAAATAGGTAGGGATTATATTCCCACTTTGCAGATGAAGAAACCAAGTCTCAGTTAAGTACCTTACTCAAGCCACAGGAATAACAAAAGGTGATGCTGACTACTGACAGTCATATGGTCTGATTTCTAATTCTAGTTTCTCCACTACTTTGCTTTGTATTGTTACTTTACTAATGTAGATATCTTCAGTTATTTGGTAAACTCTCTGAAGACAGGAACCTTGCTTTAAACATTCCATGCTGTCTGTGCACAGTTATGGATGATTTTTTTCTATACCAAGGTAGAAAATTATATATATAAGATTTTTAGTGAAGATTATTACAGAAATTGAGATGCTGAATATTTAAAATATTAGGACTCAGTACAGCATGTCTGAGGTAGGAAAGCATAATAGTTAAGCATATGAATTTTACACAAGTCCAAATCCTGACATGAGTCAAACGAATCTCTGTCATAGCATAATCTCAAAAGCTGTACAACTTTGGGCAAATTGCTTAACCTTTCTGTCCTGTGCCTTATTTTCTTTCTTGGAATAATGAGAAAAAAAGAGAATACAGCAACAACAATACCCCTCATATAATAATGTTGCTGTGAGAATTAAATGAATTAATACTTGTAAAACACTTTAGAATGATGCATGTGTGCATATTCAGTCATGTCCAACTCTTGTGACCCCTTGATTGCAGCCCACCAGGCTCCTCTGTCCATGCAATTTTCCAGGCAAGAATATTGGAGTGGGTTACCATTTCCTTTTCCAGGGGATCATCCCAACCCAAGGATCAAATCTGTGTCTCCCTTAGCTTCTGCATCGGCAGACAAATTTTTTACAACTGAGCCACCTGGGAAGCCCAGAATGGTACTTAGCACTTAATATTAATAATTTCTTATTGTTGGCCATTATTAGTCTTCTGTGGTTAGAGAGGATTTTCTGGTGGACTTTGGCTGGTGATCTCAACCTAATGAGTTAGAGAAGTATCCTCAAAGATTAGAGGCCAGAGACTCAAAATGCTGGCTTTAGGGTTTGTTAACAATCTTAAACATGGTACATAGAACATGCTGAACAAAATGAGGCCATTTTTCCAACCTCAATTCACCCTACTAACGTTTGCAAAGCTGATATGAGACAAACGAATCCCTGTCACAGAGTAACCTCAGATTATCTGACCACTTCTAGGGCAACCAAACCTGTAGAACAGCTGTCGAAACTGAAGCTTAAGGTCGCAGATGTTACCAAATGCCTTGGTAAAGTCAACAAATTAATTTTTCAAGGTGTTCTTGAATTTACTCTGCATCTGCTTTCCTGCAAGGTCAAATCCAGCACTGCACCTTGTGGCTTAAAACCACACATTCATTTCTTCTTTCAGTTTTGGAGTACATTGTGCCAGGAAGTGGGGACACACAGGTGAGCAGGCATAGTCCCAGCCTCAGGGAGCTCACACCAGCCTAGTGTGGACAGTACCACACTGGAGGTGTGTTTCTAGGGGTACACAGTGGGCCTGTCACCTAACAGCAGACCCAGCCAGAATGTGTTCAGAAGTGAGGAGTGAAGAAGTGGCCAGAGCCATTCGGTTTGTCTGTTCTCAGAGATGGTGACTGCTTGGAATTTGGATTCCTCACCTATAAGGAGATGGTTCTCACCCGGGGGCAATTTGTTCCTCAAGGAACACCTGGAAAATTCTGGAGATATTTTTTATTGTCACAGTTGAGTGGAGGTGAACTACTGGCATCTAGAAAGGTAGAGGTCAGGGATTGCCACTAAACATCCTATAATACAGACAGGAGCCCCCACAACAGAATTATTCAACCCAAAATGTCAGTAGTGCTGAGGTGGAGAGAGCTCTGAGATAGAAGATTTCTAAGTTTCTCTTGTCAACCTAAATGAAGGCATAAGCTGAGGCAAGCTTAAGAGATTAGTTTATTTGGCAATAGAAGAATTGCAATTTGGGACATGCAAACCATAGTAAGCAACAAGCAATTGTGCTGAGGATTTGGGGCAGGCTGTATCTGAACAGGGAATGAGTTCAGTTAGAATGAGGGGAGAGTCGAGTTAGAGTCTATTAAAACAAAAAACAAATGAAGGCCAGCTTTAAAAATTTCCTAAGCAGACAAAACCAGTCCAGTCATACAAACGAAACAGTTCAGCTTGTTTTGTAAGGCCAACCTGATCCAGGTCATTTCTTGTTCATGCCTCTGGAAACCATAAGTAAAACTTCCCATGACTGATATGAGGCAATCCCTGACTAATTATCTATCATTTAAGAAAATTATAATATTATTATCAGTTTTCTGTATATCAGGCATTTATGGGAACATGCATGAGATTTTCCATTTTATATCTCCTGGTTCCATTTTAGATTGAAATTCTTTCACACTCTAGCACTAAAAATTCTGTTTTTCTGAAACCCTTGGCTTCTTTTAAACTGGTGTAAATGTTTAAATAGCAGCTTCCTTCTCTTTGAACAGAAGATCATCCAAAAACGTACTACAGCCTCCTATAAAATACTGGAATCCCCTTTGTACCATACCTGCTAGGCTGCCAACCAAGTGAGAGCAAGTTCACTATCTTAAGTCTTGGCAAGAATCCCTGTGGCATCACTGGCCAACTTCCAGCTCTTTGCAGTTTAAGGGGATAGGACTTTTATAGATAAATAATGGAGATCTACATGTTATACAAAACCCTTGTCTTCAGCAATAGTTTCATTATTTTTTCTCCCCTACATTTAAAATAGTTATTAACTGGGAGCTACATCATTGGCTTGAGTTTCATTTATATTCCCAGTTCTTATCTTTTTAGATTGACGTGTTCTGAGCAGTGAAATCATTAAAAGCAAACAGCAATTAAGAGTGTCAAAAAGATGGTATCTATTATCCTCAGACTGGACTTTGAAATTCCAAGAACTCCAGATTAGCTCTCCTGTTTTATAACTTCTAGGTGCTTATATTTCTTTTTATGCTCCTCACTTGTTTCAGACACCACTGCTCTTAAATGGGAAAGGATGGTTAGCTCTGAGCACTTCTGTGAGGAAAAGCCAAGAGTACAGAAGCATCCTGGAATAGCGTTAGGTGCTCAGTCGTGCCCGACTCTTTGTGACCCTGTGGACTGTAGCCCTCCACGTTCCTCTGTTCATGAAATTCTCCAGGCAAGAATACTAGCGCGGGTAGCCTTTCCCTTCTCCAGGGGCTCTTCCCAACCCAGGGATCGAACCCGGGTCTCCTGCATTGCAGAAAGGTTTGTTACCATCTCAGCCACCAGGGGAGCCATCCTAGTATAGCGTTCTATTCTTTCAGAGAACAAAGCTGTACGTGTGCTAGTTCAGTCCACTGCTCAGTTACAGGCACGTCTGCAGGTAGGGAGCAATGGGGGCTCATAAGCACACAGGGCTTCAGGACTGATGAGGCTGTAGGCATTTTTGACTTCTAGTGATAGAGTTACAGAGACCTGGGTTTTCTAATCCTGACTCTACCGAGTATCAGTGTGACTTTGAGCATGATCTTTAAATTCTCTGAACCTCAGTTTTTTCATCTTTAAGTGGGCATAATAATAATACCTATGTCACAGATTGCCTCTGGGTATTAAATGAAATGATCTATGTCAAGTGCCTGGATGATAACAAGCTCTCCCTGAGAGTATAGAAGTTGGTCCTGGTGTCATGTTTGGGGCTCAAGCACATGAAAGAGAGGGATAGGGTTCAGTGTTATCGAGAAAGAAGTAGCATTACTCTGAAGAAGAAAGGAGGCTCACTTTTGTTTGTGAAACCAATCACTACTGGGAAACTTGGAGATTTGCAGGAGATTCTTTACTTCACAAACAAAAGTGAGATATATGCACTCCTCACCAGAATTCTATCCCATGCTCTTTGAAAAAAGAAGAGAGAGAAAGGTTTAAGTGTTAGTTCTAAGGGCAAAATCAACTGAAAAATGCCGCTACCTTCCTCCTGCACTCTTAGGTACCTTCAAAACTCTTTCTTTCATCTCCAAACCATATATGAGTCACACAGAAAGACACTGGTGTGCGTAGATCAAAATGCAAGAGGGCAAAAAAAAGTAAGAAACAGAAAACAAAGCTTCTCAGTCTTATAAACATGTGAACACAGAAATTTGAATTTAACTCTTTAGGTGGAGGTCCTGTTTGGCCAGTCCCCTCATGTGAACTTGTTCTGTCCAGACGCATTTCGCCTATCAGTGGCTTCCTCTTTGAATACAAATGATGATCTTACCCAGAAGAGGTCTAATGCAGACCCACCTTGGTTTGCAAGTTTATTTGGAAATTTTCAAAGCTGGTCTCCACATGCTTTTGATTTTGACATAATCAAACTGAACTCTCCCCTTTTTACATTTCCTGCTCAAATACAGCCTGCCCCTGGAGGAGAAGGGGACAACAGAAGATGAGGTGGTTGGATGGCATCACTGACTCAATGGACATTGAGTCTAAGCAAGCTCTGGGAGATGGTGAAGGACAGGGAAGCCTGGCATGCTGCAGTCCATGGGGTTGCAGAGTCGGACACAACTGAGCAACTGAACAACAGACCCTCAGCAGGCTCGCCTGCAGCTTGCTACAGTCCAAATGTCTCAAATTGCAATTCTTCTTTTACTTCCAAATAAACTCTACCTCCGCCCAACATTTTAGGGCTATATAGATAGGACTGACAGACAGGTGGTAAAAGATCAGAGATCTGAGGTCTCAGGCAGAGGTTGCTGTTTGAGCATTTCAGTACCAAAGCCAGAGCCAACTGGAAACCGATCACAATGGGGAAACTTGGAGCTCTGCAAGAGAAATCTAAGCTTCTCGGGTAAATTTAAGACCACACCAAGGAGAATTATATTTAAATATTTAATTAACCAGGAATTACATTAATTCTGAATTCTTCAGTATAACCTTTAGTTCTTTGGTTACTTACCAAAGTGGTTCCCTTCACAGACACAGAAGGTGTGTGGCCATCACACCTGTGGAAAGAATTTAAAATAACTTCTTTGAAGAAATGCCTAACTTTTGGAAAATCAATAGCACATTTTCTATTATATCTCCATATCTTGAGATATGGAGCTATAATCTCCATATATTTCTGATGCTTAGTAGGGAGATCTTTCACAGTGCACTGCTGAAAAACCTCTCAGAAATATTTTCATATGCTTGCTTAGGATCAGTGTTTTACATCTTTGTCACTCAGGTAGCCAAGAAAAAACACATAATAGTGGCTTTTTACTTGAACATAGCATGAAGACTTAATAACAGAAATTAGTTACATTTGTTGAATAATGTGTGTCAGGCACTATTCCTATGCTCTATAGGCATGTAACCTCATTTAAATACATCACTCTTGTCAAGTGGATACTGTGACAGCTCTCATTTTACAGATCAGATGATGGAGGTGCAGAAGTTAGAAGACACTGTTTAAGGTACTTAGTGGCTGAACTCAGAGCTGGCCACAGGCTGACTGAATCTAGAACTTTCCTTGATCAGTATGGCACATAGACTATTCTTGCAAATGGGAAACAGATTTTCTGCTTCTGTATATTTTTATTTTAAAGAGATACTAAGTCAGAACCAGACAATTAATAAGCAGATTTTTTCAAAAGGCAAACCTTACAAAGATGGCTTCAGGATGCTTATTTTTATAAGTATGTCTTATTTATTATGAGATCACCCTAGAGAAGAACAATTATGCTTTTACTATTTATATGGCTTCTCTAAAATGCAGTATAAGGTGAAAAACTTAAAAAACCTAGGTCCAGAATTGAGATAAATTTTGATTTTTTAAATCTATAATCCTATGTAAGGGTGTGCTGCCTGAATTGCAGAGTAAGAGTTAATAGACTCTAACTCTTGTATGACTCAGAGCTCTTGTATGAAGTTCAGTCCTCTCCTTCATTAAGAGCAGAGCAAAAGGCAATCAATAATTAAATAAACTCAGACTCTAGGTCAGATCAGTTAAAATTGTCAAGATGCAGTTTTCCTTCATTCAAACCCCTACCCTGCTTCATGGTTCTTGAAAGCTGAGCATAAAACCTAGGAGGCCAAACAATTTTACATTTAAAAGATAACAACATGTATTAAACATGAAATTAAAAGATGCTTGCTCCTCAGAAGAAAAGCTGTGACAAACTGAGACAATGTATTAAAAAGCAGAGATATTACTTTGCCAACAAAGGTCTGTATAGTCAAAGCTATGGCTTTTCCAGTAGTCATGTAAGAAAGTTAGAGTTGGACCATAAAGAAGGCTGAGCATGGAAGAATTGATGCCTTTGAATTATGCTAGAGAAGACTCTTGAAAGTCCCTTGGACTACAAGGAGATCAAACCAGTCATTCCTAAAGGAAATCAACTTTGAATATTCATTGGACGTACAGACTCTGAAGCTGAAGTTCCAATACCTTGGCCACCTGATGCCAAGAGCTGACAAGGGAAAAGACCCTGATGCTGGGAAAGATTGAAAGCAAAAGGAGAAAGGGGTGGCAGAGGGTGAGATGGTTGGATGGCATCACCAACTCAATGGACATGAGTTTGAGCAAACTTAGGGAGATAGTGAAGGACAGGGAATCCTGGCGTGCTGCAGTTCATGGGGTCACAAAGAGTTGGACACTACTTAGCGACTGAACAACAACAAACAACAACAACATATATTTTATAGTTTAGCTCAAAAGTTAAACAGAAATTAAAATTAACATGGATTTTTTCATATTATTCTGAAATACCAGCTCTATACTAATAAAATTTAGAAGTTAAAATATTGCTTTTATTCATATGCTTCCTTTTCATACATCTTTATTGAGCCTACATGACTTCTACATGCTAAGCACTATTTTGAGTGCTTTGGAGGAAATAAATATGACTGAGATAGAGACTGTTCTCTGAGAGGCTTTATGACAGGAAAGATTAGGTACATAAAGAGCCAAAAGGCAAGCCACAATGTTATAAGGACAATACAGGGGCTTAAGTAAAATGAAAATGCAGAGGGGCTGGTGAGCACTTGCTGGGATGAACCAGGAAAGCAACAGGGAGAGAAGGTGCTGGTTGAACAGGTATGAGAGCCAAAGAACACCAGGAGCATAAGTCTGGAGACGTAAGACAGCAAGGAAGCTGGGAACTGACAAGTAATTCCATTTGCCTGCAGCCAAGAGAACGTGCCAGACTGTGAAGATGCTTCCCAAAGTCCTACGGAAAGGCGGGTCTCTTGGTGTCTCCGCGCGGCTCAACATTGTCATCAGCTAATCAGGGCCTGAGACTGATTTGGAGTGAAGGGGAGTTCCTATGGATGGCAGGTGGCTCATCTGGGATAGAGTGTCACTGAGAGTGAGGGTCTCAGTGAGTGGCTCACTGAGAGCCACCGTGGATCGAGGTAGCAGGCAGGGTGTAGGACTCAGGAGGCTTGGAGGCCCAGAGTCTGCACAGTCACTTCCAGGCCTGCCGTAAATGTATGTTATAGTACTGTAACATATTCCAGTTAGCGTATGTTTCTGGTGTGAAGGGCTTCCACTTGGAGAGTGACTAAAACAACAGTGCAGTCACAAAAACCAGTCACATGCTGGTTAAAGTCCTCTGGATTTGGGTGATTTCGAGATAGAAAGCTGTCTCAGATGCTTTTGCTGGTAAGTCCTATTGAGCCATACCTTAAAGATCTCTCACGTATATTCCCACATTGCCAGCTATAGACAGAGCAGTTTCTCAGCCTTGGTACTACTGGCATTTCTTCAGTGTGGAGGTTTATCACATGCATTATATGACGTTCAGCAATATCTCTGACCCCTACCCACTAGACTCCAATAGCACCCACCTTTCAGCTGTGAAAACCAGAAATGTCTTCAGACATTGTCAGATCCCTTTTGGGGTGTAAAACTGCCCTGACTGCAAACCACTGAGCTAAAGTGAGTATCTCATTATGTCACTTTTCCGTTTAATGAAAAACATATATACAATATGCACATGCACACATGCATGAAATACACCAAAATATTAGTGCTTGTTCAGGTCAGTGGGTGAGACGGGTGATTTTATCTGTTACATGTATAAAATACATACATATATATATATATATAATAAGGAACTTTATATAGATATACAGTATATATAATAAGGAAAAGAATGGTATTCCTAGAAAGGGATGAATGCCTCCTTGCTATCTATAGTATCAAGACCAAGCTCCTTAGCATATACAAGGTTTTGACGTTTTGGCCTCTGCCAAATACTCCCACCCCATCTCTTATTAGTCTCACCTCATACTGGGTCACTGAGTCTCAGTGACCAAGATGGATTCTTGCTTTTTTCCTGTTTCTGAATCTTTGTTGTGTCATTTCTTTCTGCGTGGCACAACCTCCCAATTCTAAATTGCCTAGCTCAGTCCTATACGTCCTTCAGACACTGGCTCTCTTTTTCCAGGAATGCTTCTGATTCTCTTCTCCTATGATAATCTCATGGCATGAATACCATGCATCCACCACAGCACTCACCATACTACACCATAATCATCAGTGTATTCACTGATGTCACTCAGGTTGCAGTTAGGACAGAAGGCATCTTTTCCTCAAGATCCTTACTGTCATTTGCCCGAAAATCACCACAATGAATATATGAATCCATGATGATTGTGATGTGATTGTCACTTCCTAGAGTTCTGCCCATCTGGTGTTCCCTGCTAGATTTTAAAGCCCTCCAGCTGAGGGCTTTGTCTTGTTTTCAGGATTTTATCTCCAGAACTAAACAAGGTATCTAATCAACAGAGTAAGACTTTGATAAATACGAGAAACTATCACATGCCAGGAATTCTGATGGCCCTTCCCGTAGTGGGGGGCAGGAAGCTCTGCTGCTATAGCTCCCAAACCTGGATATACATCTGAATATCCTAGAGAAATAAAAATCAAGGGCCCCACTTCAGACCTGAATCAGAATCAAAAGGCTGGGGCCTGGTAATCTGTCATGAGTTTTAAATGCTGATGAAATTCTAATAATGATCAACCAGATCAACTGGGAACCACTCCCTTTGTTTTGCTTCTCCCTCCTGTCACCACAATAGGTGCCACACCTGGGATCACTGAAGGAACATTTCCAAAGAAGGATTTTACTTACTCTGATTTCTCCTTTGATCTAGGTGTCTTACATTCCTGTGTCCTCCAACTCAAACCTAGGTACTTAGCAGGAAGAAGGAAGATGGTACAGTACGACATTTGGAAAGAGAGAAGGAGGAAAAGAGAAAGAGAGACAGAAAACAGAATTCAGGGAGAAAAAGTTACCTGCTCTTTAAACTTTCCAAAATTGCATTTGAACTTTTTGCTTATGTAAACAGAGGCTGCAGCTAGACTGCTGGACTGCTGTGTACATCTTGTGATAGATCAGACAAATTTGGGCATGTCTGAAGAGCAGCTAGGGGGCCTGGATGGATCCACCAGAACACTTTGCAGCCTCAGGTAAAAAAAAAAAATCATCCTAAAGGGACAGGGTAGTCAGCACACACACCCTCACCCCAGGAGAGCAGCTGTCACTCTCTAATCGCAGCATGGTGCTGAGAACTCACTGTATGCTCCACACTGGGAAGGTCCTCAAAGGAGAGAGGGCAACCTGGATTTGACTGCACATGTTGCTCATGAGCCTTATGAGCTATTTCTCTTGTACTTCCTCTTTGCTCTAGTCCTTGGGACTACCACAAAGGGAAGAGCAGAGGGGAAAACAATGCACTGCCCTAAAATCACCATAATGAACTGGGGGCATGTGGCTTCACAGCTTCAAGAATCTGTAGGCACAAAGATAAGGGGCCCCCTTGCAGGATGACTTCATGGTGGAGTGTGTTGGCTCATAGAACAGGGGGTGGCACACCACCTATCACGGAGGGGAGTGATCAGTGGGATAATGGGGGATTTGAAACAAGAAAAAATAACTGGAGATACTACTGGGCCACCAGGGAAGGTACATTTATAAGTTCATGACAAACACTGTTAGGTACTTCCTGAACTACGTGGAAGGCATTTGTGAGGCAATGGAGTTACTGAAATTCTGTGGTGGGGGCTGAGTACCATATGTCTCAGATAATAAACGCCCCCAAACAAGACGCAAGAAAACATAACTTACAGGGAAATGTTAAGAGAAAGATATGTGATCCTGTCAGCCCTCAGTATCCATGGGTTCTGCAGACTCAACTAGCCATGGATGGAGCCCCCATTGGCTGAATCTGTGGGTAGAGAGTGCTATCTGTACATTTTTTTTTTTCTATCTGTACATTTTTAATAAGAAACTCGAGCATCTGTGGGGTTTGGTATCTGCAGGAGGTCTCAGAACCAATTCCCTGCAGATACCAAGCTACAATTGTATACGTATACTTCTCTTGAATTTACTGGCTAGCAATAAATGATTAAAGCACTAGTGGAAATTATTTCTTTGTTCCTGGGGTTGTGGTAAAGTCACAGAGAGTACAGTTCAACTGTTTACAAATAGGATTAAAATAATAATGGGATAGTTAGGAAGTACATAAATTTGGGAGGAGAAACTTCAGTAGTCATATTTGAATCAGAAATGGCAAAAGTTTTTGCCGTTTTGTTAACTAATGAAGTCACTATGTTCCCACAGCTTTCTGGGGGTCGGCTTTCTTTCTGTGATTTGCAGATCCTCTAAAACTGCTTTGCTAACTTGCTCTCCAGAGGACCGAGTGTGACAATGTCAAGCTTTGATGGCTTCAGCAAGTAGAAACCCGACTGCTTCCCAGCACAGGATGACTGTGCTTCCCCAGGGCCTTTGTCGGTTCCTCCCACTGTGCTTATAGGCAAGGAGCAGCTCCTGTCTGATTATGAAGCTTGCTTCTGCGTTTTGAGCAAGATCAGAACTGCTGAACGAAAAAAAGCTCCACTTAATAATACAGAGCCCCTCAGAATGTATGACACACCATTTATTGTCCTACCATAGGGCTACACACCCTTAAAAACAACCTCTCCCCCAACACACACATTCAAATTCAGGATTTAGGTCCAAATATTTAGGTCACACTCATATTTAAAAATAAAAAGGGTATATTTTTATGCTTTATCTTCTGAAACCTACTAGGAGCAAACAACAGTGTATTCATTACATTTTAAACCAGCACAATTACAGTTTGAAATTAAAATGTGTTTAAAGATGGCAAATCTGAAAACTGTGAAACATAAACATATGCTTAAAGGATAAAATTTGTTTCATTTTTATATGTTGTGTTTGTCTGGTTAAAAGAGAGCTACAAGTCATTTTGGTATTTAAGAAGAACAGTTGCTAAACAGAATTTTGCAAGAGTTTTGTTTTAAAAAAAAAATTTGGTCTATAACCAAAATCCATGATACTCAGAATGAAGACTATTGTTTTTTTTACCTTCTTTGATCCACTTTTGCAGCAACTTACAATATGAGCCTGAAATTAACTTGTCAGTTACCTCAACTTTTCCTAGTTTACTAATGCTAGATCGTTCAGCTACAATAAAACTCTGCCTTAAAGAAAATTACCTGAAACACAAATTATATCATACACCCCAGCCACCCCTCATATTAAGAATATTTCTTTTCTCTCTAAAAGAAATATTTCTTATAAAGGAAACACTCCTCAATTTTAAATTGTCAAATGAGAGAATTACTAGTGTTTTAAACATTTTTTATAAAGAAAAGCAACTCACCGGTTTGAAGACTATTTTCTTGTAAGCAACTCTTGTAGAAACAATCACATAAATCTACATTTTGTTCAGCTCTTCATTATTTCGTCAAGGACAAAAACAGCCTCAGCTGAAAGCTGGAAGTAAAAACCTTCCATTCCCCTAAGAGGGGAGGACAGAGCTGAGGGAGTCTCAGAGACTCATCACATACCTCGCCAGCTGCTTGCTGCCTACTGTTTTTCAGCAAGAGTGACCTCAAACACCTTTTAGTTAGCACTGCAGTGCACGCTTAATGGCACACAAGAAACATATCACGTGCCAAGCCAACACCTTAAGAGGGTGGGAAGCTTTTCAACCAGGAAGACACGCTGAAAATATTTAGCAGTCAGCTCAATTGCACGTAAGCAAAGACTTGCCTGTTTTTCACAAAACAATCCAACAGCATGATGAGTCAAGACGAACTGATTTACACAGTTTTCAACTGGGAATCAACTGGAACAATGCCTTCATTGCTCTCAAAGCTTCCCTTTCTTCACTTAGCTTTAAATTCCAGGCTCTTGGAGTAGTGGAGAAACTGTTAATAATTATTTCTTAACATTTAACCCATTATTCCCCATGTCCACTTCCTGGGACTTGTGCCGTTGGTTAGAAGTTGGTTTTCAGATAAGCCCAGTTTCAAAGTTTCGTAAGGACTTTGTCCCTTACAGAGCTCAGCCCCGTTTCCTTTGTTACTATCTGGAATGAAATGCTAAGAACAAACATTAAACATTCTGAACACAAAACAGGCTGCTGGCCTCTGGGAACCGGTAACTAATGAGTTGTCACATGATCTGAGTTTACTCACCCTTTCTGTCCCAGCGACTGAAGCTTTGAAGTCTCCTTTCTGGATTTTCTGAATGAGAACAAGGAAGCAAATGATGATCTGAAGCTCAGCCGAGAAGGAATGGATGTTGGGTTTCTTTGATTGAGTATATTTTTAGATCTTGATGTTTGTAATTCCACAGGATCTAAATGAAAATTATAAAAATTATAAAAATTTAACTAAAATATTTCCAGGTAAATATATTGGGAACTAATCTCTCTTCACCCTCCAATTGGTCTAGAAATGCAGGCATCCCTATATGAACTGGGCGGGGGGTGGGGAGGAGGGAGGATTCATCCCTATATGAACCTCAGGAACCAGGGACACTCCTGTGCCATGGACAGTTCTGCTCATTGGGGATAAAAACCTCGCAAAAAGTCAGGAGTCTTTCAACATGTATTGTGGACTGCAGTTCTATAGAATGTCCCTCCCCCGATTCCAGCTTCAAGGTTTTCTCAATGTACCTTCCCCATGGCGAACCAAAACCAAAGCTTTGTTAGGGACCTCATTTAATTCTCATGCCACTCTTAACTACCATGTCCTTTAGAAATCTTTATTTTGGTGCTTTAAAACCATTGTGAGAGACTACATAACTTTTCATATCAAAGAAAGTAAAGGAAAAGCATATTAAACCCTTCAGAGTATTTCTTATTCCCATCAAAAATCTCTGTGTATATGTATTTGCTACATATATGCTTTATATGTGGGTAAGCATGTAACACATATGTATAATATATGTACAGATAATACATAGTATTATTTATGAGTATGAAAAATTCTAAGGCAAAAGCTCAGTTCAGTCAGTTCAGCCACTCATTTGTGTCCAACTCTTTGCGACCCCACGGACTGCAGCACACCAGGTTTCCCTGTCCATCACCAATTCCTGGAGCTTGCTTAGACTCACATCCATCAAGTCAGTGATGCCATCCAACCATCTCATCCTCTGTCGTCCCCTTCTCCTCCTGACTTCAACCTTTTCCAGCATCAGGGGATTTTCTAACATGTCAGTTCTTCACATCAGGTGGCCAAACTATTGAATGTGAAGCTTCAGGATTAGTCCTTCCAATGACTCTTCAGGACTGATTTCCTTTAGGATGGACTGGTTTGATCTCCTTGCAGTCCAAGGGACTCTCAAGAGTCTCCTCCAACACCACAGTTCAAAAGCATCAATTCTTCAGTGCTCAGCTTTCTTTATGATCCAACTCACATCCATACATGACCACTGGAAAAACCGTAGCTTTGACTAGATGGACCTTTGTCAACAAAGTAATGTCTGCTTTTTAATATGCTGTCTAGGTTGGTCATAGCTTTTCTTCCAAGGAGTAAGCATCATTTAATTTCATGGCTGAAGTCACCATCTGCAGTGATTTTGGAGCCCAAGAAAATAAAGTCTGTCACTGTTTCCCCACCTATTTGCCATGAAGTGATGAGACCGAAAGCCATGATCTTTGTTTTTTGAATGTTGACTTTTAAGCCAGCTTTTTCACTGTCCTCTTTCACTTTCATCAAGAGGCTCTTTGCTTTCTGCCATACGGGTAGTGTCATCTGCATATCTGAGATTATTGATATTTCTCCTAGAAATCTTGATTCTAGCTTGTGCTTCTTCCAGCCCAGCATTTCACAATGTACTTTGCATATAAGTTAAACAAGCAGGGTGACAATATACAGCCTTGACATACTCCTTTCCCAATTTGTAACCTGTCTGTTGTTACATGTCTGGATCTAGCTGTTGCTTCCTTACCTACATACAGATTTCTCAGGAGGCAGGTAAGGTAGTCTGGTATTCTCATCTGTTTCAGAATTTTCCACAGTTGGTTGTGATCCACACAATCAAAGACTTTAGCATAGTCAATGAAGCAGATGTTTTTCTGGAATTCTCTTGCTTTTTCAATGATCCAGTGGATGTTGGCAATTTGATCTCTGGTTCCTCTACCTTTTCTAAATCAAGCTTGGACATCTGGAAGTTCTTGGTTCATATACTGTTGAAGCCTAGTTTGGAGAATTTTCAGCATTACTTTGCTAGCATGTGAAATGAATGCAATTGTGTGGTGGTTTGAACATTCTTTGGCATTGCCTTTCTTTGTAATTGGAATGAAAACTGACCTTTTCCAGCCCTGTGGCCACTGTTGAGTTTTCCAAACTTGCTGGCATATTGAGTGCAGCACTTTAATAGCATCATCTTTTAGGATTTGAAATAGTTCAGCTGGAATTCCATCGCCACCACTAGCTTTGTTCCTAGTGATGATTCCTAAGGCCCACTTGACTTCACATTCCAGGATGTCTGACTCTAGGTGAGTGATCACATGATCGTGGTTATCTGGGTCATGAAGATCTTTTTTTGTATAATTCTTCTGTGTATTCTTGCCACCTCTTCTGAATACTTTCTGCTTCTGTTAGGTCCATACTGTTTCTGTCCTTTACTGTGCCCATTTTTTTTTTTTAAGTGTTTGTTTATTTCTGGCTGTGCTGGGTCTTTGTTGGTGCTTGGACTTTTCTCTAGTTGCGGTGAGCAGGGGCTGCTCTCTTGATGTGGTGCAGTCTCCCCCTGCGGAGGCTTCTCTTGCCAAGCATGGGCTCGAGGGCGATCAGGCTTCAGTAGTTGCGGCACGTGGGCTCAGCAGTTGTGGTCCACGGGCTTTAGATGCTCCGCTGCATACGGAGTCTTCCCGGACCAGGGATGGAACCTGCGTTCCCTGCACTGACAGGCGGATTTTTAAAACACTGGACCACCAGGGAAGTCCTACTGTGCCCACCTTTGCATTAAATCTTCCCTTGGTATCTCTCATTTTTTTGGAGAGATCTCTAGTCTTCCTCATTGTATTGTTTTCCTCCATTTCTTTTCATTGATAACCTAGGAAGGCTTTCTTATGTCTGCTTGCTATTCTTTGGCACTCCTCATTCAGATGGATGTATCTTTCCTTTTCTCCAGAGCTACATATATCAAGTCCATCATACTGTAATACTTTAGACATGCTGACATGCTGGTAGTTACAAAGTTAGAATGCCTACAGAAGACATTTGCTTGCGCTCACTTATGGAGTTTAAGCTACCAAAGTGCCAGAAGGATGGCAGCTTCTCTACCACCTGTCCTCCTCATTCTCTCTTCTCCTTTCCCTCCCTCTCCTTCTGCACCATCGTTCCATTTATTTAAATGCTCACTGTGTTAGGACTCACTATTTCATACATGTTATTTTATTTAATTCTCAACAACCACCATATGATCACACCCATTTAAAGATGTGAAAATTGAGGCTTACAGAGTCACATGGAGTAGAGGGAGAGAGTGGATATTTGAATCCACCCCTTTTTGATATTGATGCCTGTGGTTTTAACCACTGTGCTGTCTTGCATGATTATAAAAACACCACCCCCCCCAAGACACTACAATACATTGTCAGTTCACTCTTTTTATTGTGAGCTTTTGTCCCTTATGATTTAAAAATAGTCCTAAACACAGATTGGTTAAATTGGAGATCCCACTGAACCCTTATCTACAGTGAAGAGCCGTAAGGTCTCACCATTTTCTGCCATCCCCTTTCTCAGCCTATGTGTAAGCGGTTGTTTTAACATTTGGCTAACATCTGTTTCATTACAAAACTTTTTCCTTTGGATTTCTTCAAACCATTCACCAGTCACTCCTTGAAGCCATCTGATATCCCTCTTTGTCTTCTGGAGTTTGCTGAAATAAAACAAAAATACACATGCTTTAAATTTCTTCACATGAAGTGCAAACTCATGGGATGGATCAAACTTTACCTGGTGGAGGAGTTGCAAACCTCTAAGTCCAGGGGAACATTGGCTCTAGTTGGAGTTTCCGTTTCACTACCCTACCATGTATATATTTTGACTGTAATTATCTAAACACGATGACAGTCTAAAAGTTTTTCCTAGTAGTTGAAATAATCAAGTTGCTGAGGACATTGTGGGTTGAGCCTTGTGCAAACCGGACCTAACAATGCAACTGATTGATAGGTATTTTAACGACATGGAGAAACTTGAATATTCTAGTTCTGTTCACTCATTCATTTATTTGTTAACAATCAGATGTTTATTGAGCAATGTTTATGCAACAGGTCCTATAAGAGATGTAAGCGGCAGTTCTTGGTCGCTTAGTCATGCCCAACTCTTTGCAGCCCCATGGACTAGAGCCCACCAGGCTCCTCTATCCTTGGAATTTTCCAGCCAAGATTACTAGAATGGATTGCCATTTGGGTCCTTATTTGCCTATCCAGTGGTCAAGAAGAAAAGCTTACATGCAGAAAAGAAATTGTTAAATGTAATGGTCTTAGATAATGGAATTCTTTAAACACAAAATCACAAAAGCCTGTGGTGAGGACATGACTAATGCTCAGTAGTAAGGGAAAGTGTGCTTTGAGCTTAAGAGGAAAAGTCATCCAAAGCACAAATGTGTCTGACCCATACTTCCAGAATGTGAGAACTGAAACTCTGCTATTATTTCTTTTTCCTTCTCCCCTGTCCTTATCTACTTAGTCTTCTTTCAAATGAAAATGCTGCTCTAAGTTCTTAGTTAAATCATCAGTTGTAACTTAAAAAAAAAAAGCAGATAATTTGCTCCATTTGAGGAGGACCCTAGAACTGTTTGGAAATGAGAGATGTTTAATCCAGAGGGAGACTGCCCTGGACAGAGGTAAATAAAGCAAGAAGGGGAGTCAGAAGATCCTAATGACAAATTTCATCAAAGGGTCAGGTTGGCAAACTTCTGATGAAAAAGCCAGGCTTCTTGTTGGGCTCCAAGCTTGGGAAATTCTGCTGTTTTGGAAAGAATTTCTTATGACTCCACAGTTGCCCTTTATCCAGAGTCTTCTGTGAAGCACAAATGTTAGAGACTTTGTACGCCTAAGAAAGCGGTGTGCAAGACAGCTGCAGAATGGCTAATTTGGGGTTAAAGGCAATGCACTGTAATGGTTGCAAGTCAGGTTCCTGCTTAGGGCTATGATACTGTCATCTTATAATATAATCAAGAGGCCATCCTGCCCAGACTTGCATTTTGAAAAGCATTAAGCAGCAATCATCTCACAGAGTCCACATAATTTGCATTAGTCCCTTCCATTTTGCCACTGCCACCCCTCCGACATGTAGTCCCTCCTGTCTCTATTGCAACTACTCTTGCAGACGAAGAGACCACAGGTACCTGCTTCTAACCAGTACTGACTGCTGTCAACTTATCAATACCTTATTTATTAATGTCTCACTCTTTTTTTTGGCCATGCCACACCACTTGCAGCATCTTAGTTTCCCAACCAGGGACTGAACCCTGGATCCAGGAAAGTGAAAGTGCTGCCCAACCACTGGACTTCACAGAATTCCCTAATATTCCATGTTTATACACGACCTTTAGTTTCTCAAAGCCCTCCCAAGTGATCAGACCACAACATTCAGCAGCACCCCTGCCCACTTCTCAACACATCCTTCTCATTTCAGAGGACACTCAAGCTACCTGACTTAGGAACTTTCTAGTCTTTATTTTCTTGGGCCCCCAAATCACTGCAGATGGTGACTGCAGCCATGAAATTAAAAGACACTTGCTCCTTGGAAGGAAAGCTATGACAAACCTAGACCACATATTAAAGAGCAGAGACATAAAAAAAAATTAATTAAAAAAAATAAAAAGCAGAGACTTCACTTAGCCAACAAAGGTCTGTATAGTCAAAGATATTGTTTTTTCTAGTAGTCATGTATGGATGCGAGAGTTGGACCATAAAGGAGGTTGAACACTGAAGAATTGATACTTTTGAAATATGGTGCTGGAGAAGACTCTTGAGAGTCCCTTGGGCTGCAAAGAGACCAAACCAGTTAATCCTAAAGGAAATCAGTCCTGAATATTCATTGGAAGGACTGATGCTGAAGCTGAAGCTCTAGTACTTTGGATTGGATTGCTGACTCAATGGACATGAATCTGAGCAAACTCCAGGAGATGGTGGAGGACAGGGAAGCCTGGCGTGCTGCTGTCCATGGGATCACAAAGAACTGGACATGTCTTAGTGACTGAACTGAACTGAGCTCAATAAATATAACTTTGTTATTTTTTCTAAAGTCTCCATATAACACTGACTCTCTTTTAAAATAGTCACACTTCATTTAATTTCATCTCAAACATTCATTCCACACTGGCACTCAAATCCATCACTGCCTATTTCTTTTTAACATCTAGCCAGTGAAGTCAGAAATCTGTACCTCTAAGTGAATACTCAGTGTGAGTTTTACTCCAGGAAATGGATCTTAAAGAAATAGCCCTTCTCCAAAGTACATTAATTTAACTGAACATTATGCAGCTGCAAAAAATTAATCGGGCAACGTAGTGTCCTGCGAAAATGCATGTGACATAGCATGAAGCAGAAAAAATAAACTACAACATTTTATCTATACTTATAGCTATGTGAAAAATAATGCACCTATTTGGACACACAAGAGAAAGAAAAATAAACACCTGATTTCTTAGAATAGAATAATTACAGGTATCAATTCCACTTTTAACTTCTATAAAATTATGTTTATTCAATAAGTACAATATATTTTTATTTTTATTTAATTGTGAATTTTAATTTATATGATCATTTTCCATTATAATTTTTCTTGTAGATACAGAAAAATCAATCATATTTTCACAATCCTAATGCAATCAGTATTGCCCTTTTGATGTGATTTTTTTTTCTTCTGCATTTCTCATATGGTTGTAATAAAATGTATTAAATATACATTTGTGGAAAGCCTCCTGGAGAGAAGATACAGAGATACAATGGTGAGCAGAGCAGATATAGCTACTATCCTAGAGAGCTTATTGTCTAATGGGAGAAACAGATATGAGTCCAATAATGATACAAACATAAGATAACAAACAGTGGTAAGTATGATTTCTTCATCCAACACACATCTGAACTCTGGGCAAAGATCAATGAATAAGTCAAGTCCTTGCCCTCATGGAATTTACAATCTGCTGGGGTAGGAGTGGAGGCAAACAATAAAAAATTAAGCAGGTGTTATGAGAGCATGCAACAAGGGGACCTGGTTATGTGAGGTGGAAGCAAAGATTTCCTTAAAAAGATGGCATATAGCCTGAAGGATGAAGCAAAAAGGTAGTGGGTGGACAGTTCTGGGAGAGAGCTTTCCAGGCAAAACAGTAGTAGCTGTAGAGTAAATGCCCCCAAGGAAAGAAGCAAGGAGCTGAAACAAGCTGGCCTGGCTGGAATGTGGAGGTGGAAAATAAGACTAACTAAAGGGAGAGCAGAAAGGTAGCTGCTAGATCATGCAAGCTTGAGAGTTGGGTTAAGCAGTTTGACCACTAGTCCTGGAGCAGTGATAAAGCATCAGTGACAGGGCAGGAGCATGACACACCAGATGTGTACTTTAGTTTTATTTTATTGGTTGATTGATTGATTTTTGGTTGTGCTGTGTCATTGTTGCTGGACAGGCTTTTTTCTCTAGTAGTGGAGAGTGGGGGCTATTCTCTAGATGCAGCACATGGGCCCAGCAGTTGCGGCACACGGGCTTATTTGCTCTGTGGCACATAGGATCTTCCTGGGTCAGGGATCGAACCTGTGTCTTCTGCATTGGCAGGCAGATTCTTTACCACTGAGCCACCAGGGAAGTCCCCAGATTTGTACTTCAAAAAGACCTACCTGGTGGTCTGCTGGTTTGGAGTCGGCCCTCCAGTTTAGGGGACACAGGTTCAGTCCTGGTTGGGTGACTAAGATCGCAGGTGCCACGGAGCAACTAAGCCTGTGAGCAGCAGCTAGAGGGCTCTCATGCCAGCACTACTGCGCCTGCGTGCTGTGGTCCGCGCTCTGCAACCAGAGAAGTCTGTGCACTGCAACTAGATAAAGTTCATGTGGCACAATGAAGAGTCCACACACCACAGTGAAGACTCAGTGCAGCCAAAAAAAAAAAGATCATCCTAGACTAAAAAGGAATCCAACAAAATGAAGAGGCAACCTACTGGATGGGGGCGGGAGAGTGGGATATTTGCAAATCATATTATCTGATAGGGGTTAATTATCAAAATATACAAATCACGTGTAAAACCCAATAGCAAAAAAGCAAAGTATATGATTTGGGCAGAGGATCTGAATAGACATTTTTCCAAAAAAGACATACAGATGGCCAACAGGCACCTGAAGAGATACTCAATACCACAAATTATCAGGGAAATGCAAATAAAACCACTTCTTACCTGTCCAAATGGCTATTATCAAAATAAGGAATGACATGTTGGTGAAGATGTGGAGAAAAGGGAACCCTCAGTGCACTATATATGGGAACACAGTTGGTGCAGCCACTACGGAGACAATATAGAAGTTCTTCAAAAAATTAAAAATAGAACTACTATGTGATCCAGCAATTCCATTTCTGGATATTTATCTGAAGAAAGTGAGGACACTAATTTGAAAAGATATGTGCATTCCTGTATTCATTGCAGCATTATTTTCAATAACTAAGATAGGGAACAACCTAAGTGTCCATCGATGAATGAATGGATAAAGATGTGACTTTATACACACAGACATACAAAGAATGAAATCTCACCATTTACTATGACACGGATGAAACTTGAGGGCATTATGCTAAGTGAAATAAGTCAAAGAAAGACAAATACTATATGACCTCACTTGTATGTGAAATTTAAACAACAAAACCAAGTTGATAGATACAGAGAA